GAAGAGGGGAGGAATAGCTTAGCGGATGAATATTGCATTGGTAAAACGAGTAGACCAGTCTGTGTTCGCATAGAAGAGCATCTGAATGTTAAGCTCAAAATTTCAGATAGTACACCTCTGAGCACACAAAAGGCACAACGGCACAATGGTAGTGATTTGAAAGTGACTGTCACAATCCATATGCAACAATCAAAAACATCATGGAGCGAAATCTCAAAGCATCTTGTTTAAAACGCTAAAAATCTATGAAGTGGAAGGACAATTGCGCTACTATAGCGCTTAAAAAAGGCTCCTTTTTCCGCTTAATTTTTATGACTTGCCGCAAGGGCGATGTAATAGACATCAAATGCATCTCATCATTCGGATAGTCTAATACTACGTACGTTACAAGGCTCTGAAGAAGACGATGCTACCAAAGCATTTACCATCAAAGTGCTTTCTACTACTACTACTACTACTACTAATAGTACAATTAGTGATACAACCAACCTCGCGTGTTCAAGTGGTCGCCTTTATTATCGCTCTGTGATGAATGGAAGCTTAGTTAGTCCAGGACGCGTCATTGAACCAGGGACTATGTGCAGTAGGAGAGCAGGTTATTAAGCTTCACCAATTCCTTGCTCTGGTAAATTCTGAGTTCACCGCTAACACCGCAAAGTGTACAACCAGCAATGTCTTCTAGTATCACTGCATGCTATAACAACGTCTTTACTATCTCACATCACATAACCGTCCATTAGCATAGAAGCACTTTACTTATCACGCGGTGTAAAATGTTCACGTCACTGACTCAACACGCAATGTAACACGTTCGTCGACGTTTCCTCTTTGTAAAAGGAGTTCTCTCCCGAGGTGGATTGGCAAAGGCGATGGGCAAGTGTGCAACTTACGAAGCTGCAAGGCCGAAACATGTGTATTGCACCGTATAAGTGCCGTAACAGGCCTCATGAAAGGTTTAGAACAGGCTGTCAGGATGTATTGATTTCAAGCGAGTTCTTAAGAAACATTTGAATATGAGGGTACTTTAATTTATACTTTTCCACCAAAGTCATCAGTTTGTACTCAAGTTAGTAATCAAGTGTTCACCTGTGAATTACAAATACATGTAGTCACTACGGTGGTTTCAAACGTAGGAACTAAGAAATGATTCATTGCTTTTAACAGAAAAGTATCTAAACTTTGCCAACTTCGTGTTGGTAACGTCGCCGAACTGCTCACCACAAATGTGTTCAACTGGCAACAGCAAGCTTTTTCCACAATTTTTTGGGATTTAATCGGATTTATTTTCAGGACGAAGAGGTCACGGAAGAAAACTCGTTACTTGATTTCCTGTTCGCCACGCAACTATCATATCACTGATATGAGCTAATATTCAGATGTGCACTCAAGTGATTCTATAGACTATTTGAGCCTTATTCATCTTGCTCAAAAAACGCCTTACAGAGTATCAACGTTTACTGCTAAAATTTGGCGTCAAATTCTTGATTTTCGCATGTAAGAAATACAGCGATAACACCAACAAAGAAAAACATGGACCGAGGGCACATTCACCATAATTAAACGCATCGTTCAATCGGCATTTTGAGACTATCGTGGACATTACGAGAGCGCGAGTTTATAAGTCTATAGAATAAAAAACCTACAATATCTATGCATTATTATTTGAGCCAACTCGTCATGTGGTCTGGTAAGGGCTCTTGTACAGCCCGATACACGTGTTTCGTCCTTACAGACTCGTCAGCCGGGCAGAACCCGTCGTCTTTCGATCTTTTTATAGTCACTTCTCTCGGGAGCCTTACACTCCTTGTAGAGAGTCATCGAAGACGATCGTTTCACACTCTATGTCAAGCGAAATTTTCACTTATCACAGAGTGTCGCACACTCGATTGCTCTATGGCTGGTACCTTCATCATAATTATACCTTTGTTTCGATTATTTGAGCCAACTTGTCATGTGGTTTGGTAAGGGCTCTTGTACAGCCCGATACACGTGTTTCGTTGATAAAAGTACCAGCCAAAGATCAATCGAGTGTGCAACACTCTGTGATAGGTGAAAATTTCGCTTGACATAGAGTGTAAAACGTTCGTCTTCGATGATTCTCTATAAGGAGTGCAGGGCTCCTGAGAGAACTGACTATAAAAAGATCGAAAGACGACGGGTTCTTCCCGGCTGACGAGTCTGAAAGGACGAAACACGTGCATCGGGCTGTACAAGAGCTCTTACCAGACCACATGACAAGTTGGCTCAAATAATAATGAAAGGATCTATTGAAATTTGAGCGTGGCCTAAACAAAGCACTCGAAACAAGGGTATAACTACAATATCTATGTCAAGAAGTTGCGGGAGAGCATGACGAGAGCCACCTTAGCTGCATGAGAAATTATGAGAGTCACTGAGCAGAGTTCATAGGAAAGCCAAAGCCTTCCAATATTTTCGGAACGAAACCCTAGGATGTGATGAAAGACGATGAAATATTACGCATGCTATCGACAAATCAGTAATTGGTAGATATAGTTTTGCATCGCACACGAGGTCAATGGTTCGATCTCGCGCTCATGGCTCACCAAACCATCCATCCCTCCGAGGTCGATTAATCGTTACCAGACTAGTCTCAGGCTTGTCTGGGAGGATAAGCAGCACTGACTCGGTAGAGCGGGAGGCCACCGCGACTTGTTGTAAAGGCCAGATATGCATTCAATCACCTCAAACGAAGTTAAAATCAAAACGAATGCATGTTGCATCGCTCAGGGATTGATCAACGCCGAGAGCTTCATCTCATATCCTTTATGATTTTGCGTTGTACAACACTTGTCCCAGGCTCAAATTCCTTATTCAAAATATGGCTTCATGAGAGAAATCGAAAGCAGGGCTCAATAATACCGCTCACTAAGTATTTTCATTACCCTATGGTGTTAGGATATCGACAGAAATGTTACAGTTTCATCATATTTTAATGGTAAAATGAAGAGAGACCAACCATACGAATGCTACAAACAAGTGGAAATGAGGGTTGACACGTTGACAAAAGGAAGTGGTAAATGATTTTAGCATTAACGTTTTGATGAGACATGAAAAATATGTTCGTTGTTCAAAGACACCGTTTAAATGTTTATTTACATATATTATATCCTCATGAGATATTAAATCAAGGCAACCTGGCTGTTTAAATCCGACTATCAATATGTGAGCCAAATGAATGCACTTAATAGGAAGAATTTCTTACAACGAGAGATCAATGCATTAGTAATGTTTCCGGTGGCGCATCTCCTGCTTCCGTTACCGTTTCCTCTACAGGGGTATGGAACGAGAACTATCAAACTCCGTAAACTCCGTGAATTTCAGAATCGGCTATTGTTGATCCCAACGATGGTGTTGAATGCAGTTGTACTGCACGAAGACGAGAAGCAACAGGATGTCCGGACGGTGGGTGTGTTGGGGTCGTTGGCACTGCTGGAGTGTTATATGCCAACGCTGGTTTTAAGTCAGTCTCTAAAGCAAGCCCGCAATAATAAAGCATAGGTCATTCACTTTGCTACTTAAGGCATGAAAAGTATAACAACATATTATCCCATCTATTGCCTACTTGGCATAGATTAGATTCCTTTTCCCAAAAAATTGAGACTGGCAATCAAAGAAGCCAGTGAGGTTATTTTTGAGTTGGTTGTAGTTCTGAATTGTGTTCTCCCTCGTATTCCCATGGAGCAATACCATGGCTATACGATGAAAATAAAACCGTGATCCATCCCAGTTTCCACAAAAATATGACAAGTCGATTTGAAATGTAATGTCGAGCGTTATCTTGGAAAAAGGTGAGACATTGAGTCGTTTCCGACGCTTCTCTCTCGCACAGCTGTGACCAACTTTCGGAGCTATTCACCGTGGACTTCTTTTTGATTGTCTGCTTGTTGCCGAGCAGTGCTTAAGAAAGCATGTGCTGCCAGCCCCTACAAAGCCGAGAGCATAATCTTTCAAGCGTAGAACTACTAAAACACTATTAGCCCACAGTCATCCGTTCATCAGTAGAATATGTTCTGCATGAACTAAATTACGTTATAAATGAATCGCATAGCATCATAAACATAAGTAAAGAGTCTCTAAGAAAACAGTGCACATTTTTCATTTTCCTACGGCCCGTCATTATAATATTCTGTCCGAATGCTAGCACCTGTTGCGTTGGATTAAATTCGCTTATTCCAGTTCATCCTCTACTATGATCTCCAAACATTTAGCGTGTTGATTTGGAGGCTGCCTGAGATGTTTTCTTTACGAATTTCTAAGAATGCTGATCGAGCCGATTTTTCCTTCCGATCGCGGAGGTAGACGAGCTAAAGCGTTCGCTAAGACATTCGTTGATTAATTGCAGTAGAGTGTTGTGAAGGTGATTCAACTGGTGCATCTCTGATCACCTCACTTTCTGATACAGTGCATCATTCGCCTTTGCGATACCCGCGCACCGTCATAGCATCACAACTCATAAGAATAATAAGCGACACAATGAATTTGTCAGCATAAGTGGCAATATCTCCATTCAAATGATTTCGCCTAACTTAATAGTACTTGCCACATCGAGTTGCAAAATTGCGTTTCGTGGATAGTTTGTACTCTAATTAACTTTCTATTTTGATTGTATTCTGACACATATTCCACGACATAGTCTCCAGAGGAGTCATTTGATCGATTAGGAACTGCTGTGCGTATTCGGTTTGTTTTCGTCAAAATTATCCTTTGGAGACCATGACGATCTTTTTGATGCTTACCACGCGACGTCAACTCTCACTCAGCTACTGTAATGGCAGCGTCGCGTCTCCTTGGAAAGCGGACAGACTTCTAGAAATGTACGAGACGTCTGCCTGACTGCCGCACAAGCGACGGTGCTACGCCGCCCGCCCATCAGCGCTTGTCCTTAAAGGGATAAGGTTGTCAAGCTTTAACAAATGGACTTCCTATCCTTATATTAATAAACTTCCTAGCATAAAACTGAAAAACTGACGTTTTCAAAAAGCTTCTCTCTAGTGGAGCTCGGACCACTAACCTTTCGATTAACAGCCAAACGGGCTAACTACTGCGCTATGGGAGCATAGGTGCGCGGCAACTCTATCCAGGAACTTCTTCGACTATCAATGACTATCTTCGCTGCCTAAGAGCTTTGTAATTCAACTACGCCTCCCTCGGAAGCTAGAGCCAACGGTCTTTGGGTTAATAACCGAACACGCTGCCTCATAGCGTCTCAAAACCGCTCGAGCTACGCGCAAAAATGATTTAATATACGTTGCACACCTCCTTGCATGAGTCCTAATAATACGACTAGATTATCTAAAAAAATGCTTCCGCTTTACATTGACACTATCTAATGCTAAACAGACTTTAGTTAAACTGAATCGTAATCACCTGCGCCAGTAATTCAACGCGTCCTTGTGCCCAGCGTTCTCAGTCAGTCACTCAAGACGAGGTACAGATCTTTGTATACTAACATGAGTTGAATCTTAATATTCCAAATCCTATCTTATGAAACTTTTGGAAATAATAAACGCAGAGGTTGTTTATGTTTGAATCCGATTTGCTCTCGCATTGCACTGGATACAGTAGCGGTTATACAGGATTATATCGAATATTGTCTGAACAAAGAGGAGGTATGGATGAAAGCCACGGAAGCATGGGCGACAGTGATTCCTATCCCAAAATTTTCAAGATTTCCAGCACATAAACTCAAATACTGACCTTTTCCGGAAAAGGTTGCGCTCCCGGGTGGGCTCGAACCACCAACATTTCGGTTTGACCAAAAGCTTGATTACGAAATTGAAGTTCGATGGCTGACGTTTTTGCTAACTTCACCTTCTTCAAGCGTCGACGCTCGTTGTACCAGACCACTCAGATGATTCAGTGGAATATCAGTGCCCTTTACATCACCTTTGTGTCTATTTAAAAGATAAAACGAAGAAAAAGCGCCATGTGTTGCATGGTAGTGTGACGCATTCGTCTTTTCAGTTTAATTTTCGAATTACAACGCTTATCCAAAACGCTTCAGCGCTTTGATGCCTTTGATTCCAGCGCCAGGATCATGACAGTCACTTCAAAATCACTACCGTTATGCTTTGTGCCCATCTGCATGCCTTACGTTGAGGTGTACTATCTCGAATTTTGAATTTACTATCCAGATATGCGGACACAAAGTACCTAGTCATTCTTCAAATAAATTCATCCCCGCTTGCCTTACAAGATAGTACACATATTGTACCCAAACTCATATTTTCCCTCTCTTTCGTGAGGGCAGATTGTATAATTTTCTGAGATGCACAAATGATCGTAGAGGTGATTGCAGCGTAGTTCACGACGCAAGGTGTTAGGTGAGTGTTCAATAACTGCCGAAAGCCTTACTGAAGCTCATCTTTCTGAGCACCTCCACATGGCGCTACTTACTTCGTTTGGTATAAAGGACAGCTTCGAATGGATCTAATTTGAGTGTGCAAATATTGTTTTGAGGCCTAATTTTTATCTTTTGAGCCAGCCCAGTGACCGATGTTTCATAGCCATTCAAAATGGCTATTTCTCGCGCCGATTCCTTGCTCTCCTCTTTTCGTGTGCACTCATTTTTAGCCGTTCGACACATGTTTATGACAGCGATTTTTCCAGATGGAAAGCATGAGAAGAAAAAATTGAAGTAGTGTGTAACTTTGCTGTTTAATTTTTTGTTCCATTTTGTACTACAATCCATTTCTAAAAACTCCATTCAAATGTTCGAGATTAGGAGTCAGTTCCTGCTTGAATTTTCTCGCGCAAATTCCGAATATTCAGAGTGTCCATTTGAAACTTCGAAACATTTGCCCATTCATTCTTTGTTGGGATTCTGCATTATGGTAATATAAAGAGTACAACACTGCTAATGGCACGATTAGTATAAAATAAATTTCTCCTGGTTTTGTAAATGAGATGGCAAAGCATCCAGCCCGGTAGAGCATTGGGAACCACTGACCGATAGATCAAAAGTCTACCGCTCCAGCAACTGGGACCACGAAGCCTTCAGGGCTCATCATCTTCACATTTAACACAGCGTTACCTTATGGAACGATTAACCACTAGACTCCTATTTGGCACTTGTATGGACCACGTTCTCAATATTTCACGTCGAGCGCCAGGTTTTCTGCGGCGTACTCAGCAACTGAAATCTGAGAAGTTATCTGGCAAATCTAGGTTTTAAGAAGACATTTTCACTTCTAAATGATGTACTATCACAGAAGAGTCTCCCGTAAAGGCTCTAGTGTAAACAACGCCCATATGTCGAAAAACTTCCAACTAGTAAACCACATCCGTCCAAAGAGGAGCGTACTTCTTTCGATAGCTTGAGAAATGGTGCTTCTGATACTGAGCTTGGTTTGTGAAACGACTACCACACTACGTTTTGAATATGAATAAAAGATTACCTTTTCAATTCAGAGGCGTCGTTTCATCTTCACAATGGATTTTGTGTAACTATGTAATGAGATTTTTGTGCTAAGCAAGCTTTGTCGCCATGAAAAAATAGATTGCTTTTGGATAAACTCGTGTAAACGTATTCTCAGTGGAAAGAACGCTCTTTTACTGCAAATTATGAGCTGTAATCGCATTATATGAATTATACTCGTGTTTCCTTGGCTTTTTTTTCGGAGAGGAACATTCTCGCTAGACTATTAGTAATCATTCGATAGCTTGAGAAATGCTTTTTTTTGATACTGAGCTTGTTTTGTGAAGAGGCATATAAAGGAAGTATTGAGAAGATCACGTAAAATCAATGCGCATAACTACTGACAAAGATTGCAATGATGAGTATTGTTCATATCAGTGTATAAGCCCTTGAGGACCTTGAAAGTCTTTTTGATGCTCAACGCGCGACGTCAAATCTCACTCATCTACTGTGATGGCGACGCCCCATCCCATGGTAAAGCAGGCAGACAGTCAGGCATGCATGCACAGACACTCAGACGTCGCCCGCCAGATTGCCGCGTAAGCGAAGGCGCGACGCCGCCTGACAACGCTGGTCCTTAAACGTAAGAGGTTATCACCTATAATACAATAGAAGAAACCGTGTTCTGCAATTTTATAGAAGTCTCCACTTTTGAAGAACACTAATTACTAAAAGTTGCTTCAAATTATTGATGAAGTGGAATCGCGTTGCAATGTACAGTTTGCTTTTTGCTTCTGTATTTTTTTTCACGAGCCATTCATCAATTTCTAATTGGTTTGACAAATTTGGTAAAAAAAAGTAGTAAAAGAACCACAACCACTCAATCTCTTAGTCATATAAGTAGCATATTAACACTGCGAAAAAAGCAGTGAAAATACTATAATTTCGAAAAAAAGTAGTCTTATTGAAGTCTCTTCGCTCGTATTTACCCCTTCACTGACTATTGAACCTTCTCTGTTGGTGATAAAATTTCAAATTCGTCAGAAAACTACCACACTGTCTTTCCACCGTACCGCACTTCCCGCACAATTCCGCCGATTGCCGTGTGAAAAGTCAACGTGAAGCCTGAGGGAATAATACATAATGAGTTACCCTTGATATGCAAAACGAGAGAACAAAACATACAGCCCCGTAGGGGACTCGAACCCCTGACCGTTAGATTAAAAGTCTAACGCTCTACCAACTGAGCTAACGAGGCTCACGGAAACTCCCAAGTTTTTACGCAACATAATTTTGTCAGATGGCACAACGCTTCCGAATAGTGCGTATTTATCAGAATTAGAATTAGCCACAAGTTTTGCGCTTAGTTAGCTCATTTAGATATTAACTCTGGCAGGATCCCGTGTAGTTTACATGTATTTCGGAATCAACTGGATTACAAGGGTATGTTAGAAAGGCTTGGTATTGAAGGGCAAGGGAGAGCGCTACCACTATTTCTCTTCTCATTAGCTCGCCTTGATGAGGAACCATCAAATGACGAAATCGACTCTGTCGTTTATTTTTAAACGTCATTCTTCGAATACTTAATCACTATGGAACCTAGAACAGGCCCAATCCTGTACGGAAACGGGGTTTACACCTAGTCAGGAAACTTTATGGGATCAGAATCTAGCCAACTATCTAATAGTGACATAGGTAGGCAATTTGTAATCCTTTCGAGTCAGCTGAATGTTTATTCAACAAAAACTTCTTCAAGATGTTTCCTTCTATCGAGCATCTTTTGGAAAGAAGTATGGAATCCAATACCAGAAAATTAAAGACAGAATAGATCAAAACGGAAAACTCTGCGGGTCTGGGAGCCACCGTTACTGCTCGGCTCAAAAACAATCCAGTTTGTCCGATCCTAAACATATTCATCGAAGCACTTGTGCTAACCTCTATTGATGCTTGTCGACCCATCCATCAGCATTCAGGTTCGACTTATCATCAGGTGTACAGAGAGAAAAACGGATAGAATGATACGCTTTCTAGAACTCTTCCTCACTCAAGTGGCTGAATTCTCACGACTCATCTACCAAACGCCGAAAATATTCCTGGACTATCTAGCTGCCCGCAACCAAACCACACATGTAGTTAAGCCATTTGAAGTTACTTCGCATTATACAAATCTATCAAATGACACTGCAAAGCAAATCGCTATTCACGAGTTCCTCATGGAAAATGAGAGAATATAAATATGTATTCCTTATACATCTGATAATGTTGAGTGATATGCCAAACTTCGAACCTCACATGGGAATGGAACATACATTTCATCTTTTCTGTGAGCGCCACAGGGTTTGATAACGATATGTGCAGCAGGACAAACCGTTGACTGCTTGTTGTCAGATCGATACTGTATATCGCAAAAAGAGTGATAGCACGACAGTAAGTTGGCTAGTGCAATTGCTTGGCACGCGCCTCGGGAAAAGGTGGACTGCGGTTTTGACTCCCACCTGAGGTTCAAAGTTCTCCATATTTCTCTACGATATTGGATGTATAAATAAACATCATGGCACTACTAAATACCCATGTATGGCTTGTCGATTCAGCAAGTAATGACAACTTGAAGCAGTGTCTTAGTTATTTAATCTTTCGATGACTGGCAAGAATGTTTCAGGCAAGTTATGGAGTTAGCCATGAGTCAGCGATTGGCACCA